GCGCGGCGCGCCCCAATAAGAGGAAAACAGAGCTTTCTTCTCATGCGACGCCTGGAGCCCATTGGGCCCCGGGCGAAGAACATTTTTCAAATGGTGGCTGGAGAAGCTCAAGAAATCAACTCCAAATGTAGGGAGAGCGGGTGGATCAAGTCTGAACCTCAAGTATTGATAGGAAAGATCCTAAGCTGTAATCTAGGCTATTCGCTGCGGAAAAACCCTCAATCTGCAAATCTCCAGCGGAAATCGAGAGAATTCCGCGACTTTTCCCGGTTAAACTGACGTTTTTTGGCGTGAATATCTAATTTGGCGATGACTCCAAAATGGCATGCATCCCATTGCGTAAGATAACGGAACACCTCTTTTAGAGCCCAAAACTGAGTACCTATGTGCAAGTTTTTTCTGTTAGAGGTTCTAGCACATCACACTGGCGCACCTTTTTACGAGGAGACCACTGGCTGCGCTGTGACAAGAAAACAACTTTTATTATTAGCTGTTCAAAAATAGCGCTAAAAAATCACCATTACATCGAATTTTTCGGTTTTGATCTGCGTACGGTGATCACTCTCAGGTGTCTATAAGTCACGGTTGTGTATACTACATAAGGCAACTGCTTTGCCTGATGATACTCCGAAAATTTCTTTTTGCTTCTATCCGTTCATTTAATTGTTTTTAACATCTTTTTAACTGCATGAAATGCAAAATCGTACAGAGATAAAATCTACTGGTAAGTACGAAAATATATTCTGTACAAGTTCTGTTCGTACGGCTTCACCAGACTACTCTTGCTGGAGTGCTCCCATGCCACCACCGTCACCAGACTTTCTACTTATTGATCGGCAGCCATTAGATCGATAAGTTTTTAGCACGTTTTCGTTAGCTCATGTATTATAAGCGCTTATTTGTGCTTTAGCAGTACTGCTGTTGGCCTTTTCAGACTGGTACCAAATCTGCACACCGGTTTTGACTTCTTGTATTTTATATGTTTAGATGTTTAGTGATTTTACAAGGAAGAACGAGATTCTTACAAGGGGAAGGCACCAGCCTAACCCAGCCGATCGAGATCAAACCCGGCTAAGTAAATCTTTACCCTAGGACGTAGCTTAGGGCTATACGATAGATTTGCCGTGCGCACCCGAAAAAAGATACTCCAGCTTTCTCCAAGAATGTTTTTCTTGAACACAGGAAACGAGCTGGGTAGCGCAATGGTAAGTGTGCGGACTAGTGAGCAGGTGGTCAAGTGTTCGAATCCTGTCCTTGCCATTGTTTTGTAGCTTGGCTTCCCTACCTTTCCTACTTCAGTTTTTGCATGAAGAACAATCGGAACCAGCACCCACATCTATTTTCTCAAAAATTAAAGATGAGGTCCGAAATTTCTGCATCACGAAGAATTCTTTCGAATGCTTCATTTTTATCTTCCTTTCTTCTCGTGACACATGTGTGATGTCAGCTCTGCCAAACTTCTCCAAGAGAATGGTGACCACGCGAGCAG